TACTTATTATTTGGGGAAATAATTAGCTTGTTTATTGTCACATACTGCAGTTAACTACCATGCTGATCACTTCAGGATGATGATTGTTGTATCTTTCTTTCCCTTAAATCTAATTCTTTTATTTTTTGGGGGTGTAGGAAAAATGTAGGCCAAATGCTAATAAAGAATTAAATAAAATAATACTTAAGTCTCGCTAAAAAACACTGTTCTTAAGAAGCCATTCAAATAGTATTTAAATGTCTCCCCATGATTAAACAAGCCTTCCTCAAATGAGAGAGGGAATAAGAACAGCTAAAAAATATTAATCCAGCAATAAAGAATAATAGAAAGAAAACTTTTTATTTTAAAGACCAAAGAAAATTGTACTAAAACAACTTAATGCTTTTGTATTTAATGTGCCGAAATCAGTAAACAAAGAAAACAAAAGCTTTTGGTATTGAATGAAGAAAATTGGCTTTAGCCTTTTTAATTAGCCAAAACGAAAGACAACCGGACGAAGAAGAAAGAGCTAGAGGAAGAAGGTTTTTGGTGCACTTTTTTCACTCAAACTTGCATCTATTTATAGTGCTAAAATGTGCCGTTAATGCTCCCAAAAAAATCAGAAACGGATATCCCATTTTGATAAGATAATGGATATATTTTTTATGAGCTAATTTATAAGACTTTTTCTTAGTGTGACTTAGTTTATAATTCTTATCTCAACTTAAGTAAAAAACTAAGTCAACCAATTAATTTACTAATCAATAAATCTTTAACCCAAAAAATCTTATTGAAATATAGTTAATTTATTCAACAATCCCCCACATATTTGAAAAGATTTTTTCCTCTTTAAAACAGTATAAGAATAAGAAAAAATTGATGGATATCTTTGGATGCATTGCAATCAGTCTGATGTCTTTTGGACTATGAACCAAACTTAGATTAATAAAACATGACTCACAGAATAATTGGTGAAATTAAATTTTCTATGAACCAAGTATTCTATTTGTAAGACAGAGGTTTTACTAACAATAATGCAAACCCATATTTTGCTGTTCACGCGGTTTTGCGCCAATAGGCCATGCGCGCATGGTTATTCATGAGAGCTCTAAAGATCCTACCATAAAATCTTATAGGAGCGGCCCCACTCCACTCTCATATAGGTGAATTCATCAAGTGTACGCTGCTTTAGATACACTACTCGTAAGAGATATGAATTCATTAAGAGTTTAACTCAACCTCACAATAGATAGCAGTTTAAGCACCCATCACAATAGAGTTTTAACTAAAAGTGCTTCAGTGTTAATATTGACTTGTTATTACCCATATGAACCTACTTCATGGGACCTCCTATCACATAGGTTGGGTTACCATCTTTATTGACAGTTAGTTGGTCTAAGTCTCATTTCCTTTAAGGTTTGAAGAATTAATTTTCTTCCCAAAGGTTTAGTTAGAGGATCGGCCAAATTCATTTCTGACTTCACATAACCAATGGAAATAATTCCATCCTTCAACAGCTATTTCACGATATCATGTCTCAATTTCATGTGTTGATTTCTACTATTATAAGATTTCTTTTTAGCAGTATTAATTGCCGCTTCACAATCACAATGCATAGAGATAGGAGATATGGTATCCTTATATAAAGGAATACCCGCTACGAGATTTCTCAGCCAATCAGCCTTGGAACCAGCTAGTTCAAGAACTACAAACTCTGATTCCATAGTCGATTTAGCATAAATCGTATGTCTCAATGATTTCCATGCTATAGAACCACCAACAAGGGTGAACACAAAACCACTAGTAGATTTTGTCTCATCTGATTCAGAGATCCAATTAGCATCACTATACCCTTCTAATGCATTGGGAAATCCACTATATAGGATACCATAGTTCATGGTTGCTCTCAAGTATTTCATTAGTCTAACAAATGCAGACCAATGCTCATGATAGGGATTATGAGTATATTTACTCAATCTACACACAACATATGCTATATCAGGCTGTGTAAAATTCATCAAATGCATCAGACTTCCAATAATCTGAGCATATTTAGATTGAGCAACTGGGTCACCACGATATTTTTTCAATTGAGTGTTAGTGTCATTAGGAGTGCTCACCGGTGTCACATCAAAGTTTTCAAACTTCTTAAAAAGTCTCTCAACACAATGTTCTTGTGACAACATTATACCATCACTTCTCCTTATAACTTTAATACCCAATATCATTTTTGCTTCACCCAGATTTTTCATATCAAAATTAGATGATAGAAAATGTTTAGTACTATCTATTACATGTAAACTATTTTACTAATTTACAAACTTTATTTTCTTTTTCAGAAACAACACATCCTTCAGATTGAACCATATAAATTTCTTCTTCTAAGTCACCATTTTAAAATGATGTTTTTACATTCATTTGATGTATAAGAAGTTTATGAATAGAAGCTAAAGCAAATAGTACTCGAATAGAAGAAATTCTAGTCACAGGCGCAAATGTATCAAAGTAATCAATATTTTGTTTTTGTGAAAAACTTTTTGCAACTAGACGAGCTTTATATGTATAAATAGATCCATCAGAATTAAATTTTCTTTTAAAGATCCATTTGCAACTGATTGGTTTTGAACCAGGTGGTAAATCTACCAAAATTCAAGTTTTATTTTTCACAATGGAATTACTTTCACTTTGAATAGCTTCTTTTCATAACTTTGCATCAGAAGAGTTATTGCTTCATTATAATTTGAAGGTTCATTATTAACTAGAAAAGTTTGAAAATCGTTTCTAAAAGAAAAGAGTTTTTTTTTGCCTTTTGCTCCTTCTAAATTCCTCCTCAACGGGAACTTCTTTATCACATTCAATAGGGACATGAGAATTTTTATTTGATAGTGGATAAATATTTTCAAAAAACTTAGTATTCTTTGTTTCGACAATAGTATTACATTCTAGCATATCACTTTTCAAAACAAGAAATCTATATGCAGCACTATGTTTAGCATATCCAATAAGCATACAATCAGAAGTTCTACTACAAATTTCCCTTTTCTTAGGGTCTGGTATTAATACTTTAGCAAGGCACCCTCACACTTTTAAATATTTCAAATTAGGTTTATATCATTTCCACAATTCATAAGGTGTTTTGCCAGTCTTTTTATAAGGAACTCTGTTTTGTAAGTGACAAGCCAATAGTATAGCCTCACCCCATAAATTATCAAGCGCTTGAGAGTTTACTAACATAAAGTTCATCATTTCTTTTAGTGTTCTATTTTTCCTTTCGGCTACTCCATTTGATTTAGGTGAATAAGGAGGCGTTATGTCATGAAATGGCATGATGATTTGGCTTTTAACAAACAAAACAATTGCCTTTCTTTTTAAAAGTGGGATTATTAGGCTTGTAATTTTTGGAGTTGTTATCGTACCTCTTGTTGTTGCTTTGCACCAAGTTTGCTTTGAGCACCATCTCCTTAGCTTTGGGAGTCTTTGACTCCTTTCTGTTAGTATCTTCGATCAAGATGTGCATCACCAACTCCTCGACTATGAAAATCTTCTGCTTGTGTTTTAGGTTGTTCTTATACTTACTCCACGAATCTGAAAGTTTTTCGATCAGGACTCCAGCAGCAAATTTTTCAGGCACCACAATGTCTTCAACCTTCGAATCTTCGAGCAGCTTTTGATATTCGTTGACTTCAATCTTCATCTCCTTCTCTTCAACCATCTGCCTTTGGTAAAATTTTCTAACAACAAACTTTTGCTTCGTAGCATCTTCCGCGGTGAACTTTTTAATCAATGTGTCCCAGATGGCTTTGGCTACTTTGTAGCTACAGTACACATCAAATAACTCATTAGAAAGAGTTTGCAAAATGGTAGGACGATATACCTTATTGGCATGTTTCCACGATTCTTGAATCTTGCTATTAACAGTTGAATCGGGTTGGGCATCAGTCAAAGCATAAGCAACTCCATTGATGTCGAGCAAGGAAAAGACACGTTCTTGCCAACGTTTGAAATTTTCATTGGCAAAAACTTCAATCTTCGAAACATCAGGAAAAGGTTTGGCGTATGTTAAGCCGACAGGGACCGAGGGTGGAGCTGGTACAACAAGGGACTGCGTAGCATCAACATTGATAATTCCATCAACATTAGTAGCATTAGCTTGGCTGGAATTCATAGTTTCTTAAGATTGTAGGAAAAATGTAGGCCATATTCTAATAAAGAATTAAATAAAATAATACTTTAGTCGTGTTAAAAAGCACTGTCCTTAAGAAACTTTTTCAATGGTATTGAAATGTTTCTCCAGGATTAAACAAGCCTTCCTCAAATGATACATGGAATAAAGACAACTAAAAACATTAATCCAACAATAAAGAATAATAGAAACAAAACCTTTTATTTTAAAGACCAAAAGAAAATTGTGCTAAAACAACTCAAGGCTTTTATATTTAATGTGCCGAAATCAGTAAATAAAGAAAACAAAAGCTTTTGGTGTTGAATGAAGAAAACTGGCTTTACCCTTTTTAATTAACCAAAACAAAAGAAAACCAGACGAAGAAGAAAGAGCTAGAGGAAGATGGTTTTTGGTGCACTTTTTTCACTCAAACTTGGCATTTATTTATAGTGCCAAAATGTGCCGTTAATGCTCCCAAAAAATCAGAAACGGATCTCATTTTTATAAGATAATGGATAGATTTTTTAGGAACTAATTTATAAGACTTTTCTTAGTCTGACTTAGCTTATAGTTCTTATCTCAACTTAAGTAAAAACTAAGCCAACCAATTAATTTACTAATCAGTAAATCTTTAACCAAAAAAATCTCATTAAAATATAATTGATTTATTCAACAGGGGGTGGGGGTGATGGGGTAAGAAAGAAATCAAATTCAAATTGTGAAATGTGTTATATAATTAGCCCCTCATTAGTCCAATTTGGCATCTACATTTTCCGATTGCAACAAGATGCAAATGTCTATTTTCTTCTTCTTTTTTATTTTATTTTATTTTATTTTTTTTCCTTTTTCTATTTTGGGATTAATATAGCAACGTGCACATCACACTTGGGAGTTCTAATGCGTACAAAGTGTACTCTTCTTGAGTTCTCCAGGGAACAACTTTCAAAAAAGGAAAAAGAAAAAAAAATATATCTCTGTAGAACAAATTGAGTTTATTAACTATTGCATTCTCAGACAGATAGATTAAAAACATTTACTTGCCTTACACCGGAATGACACCTGCGGAAATTAAACAAGTAAGATGTTATCACCCATTTGATCCAAGTCGGCACTAAAATGGTAGCCAATCATTCAACCTCTCTTAGACCGATCCACTATAAGAAGTTAAACGCATTAGTGTATTTATATTTCATTCCAAAAAAGATAATGTACAATTGTACTTCAGAAAATAGCAACCTTGCTCGCGCCTTGCACAATATTCTCCAAAGTATAATTTATATTGCTACTTTATTCCAGTAAGAACTACCAGTGTTTTAACAAATTGCATTACCATAACTAATTCCAAAGAAGTTTACTCTTATCAAGCCTGCTTGAAACCTTTCCTATAAAAGTAAAGGATAATCTCTACCCAATCACTCTTTTTTTTTTCTTTTTTATTTTATTTTCTTTAAAGATCCTTACATCTCTACAAGTTGTTTGTTGGTTAGCAACTACTATTCAAATCAAATTACTCCGTAAACAGTCATTTCAGTTAATATTGCACCTGATATTCCCCCATTTCTAATAGGTTGCCATGTACAGGCAACTATTTCTCTGTGCAAGAATTGTGCATCTATTGCCAACCCAAAAAATCTACACAATCATTGCACGGATAATAACATTATTTATAGTGCAAAAGTAGCTTCCAAATTTTGGATTTAGTTTTCAAGGCTTCCTGGAGTCTTTCTTTCCCATTTAGAGATAAGATGTAAGTAACAACAGAAATGGCTACTGGCTAGTCCAATCCTCTTTACATATATTTATATTGCCTCCAAAAAAATTTTAATGAGCAGAATAGCAAATTTTTTCCACTTTCCCCCTCCCTTCAACAGAAAATTTATTGTCTACCTAACATTAGAACTCCGGCATCTATGGTTTACCAATGAGGAGTTCGTGCATTCATTGCATTACTTCGAGTGGAACCAAGCTTGGTTGAAATCGAATGTCGATGCACACTACGAAGCTATGGAGATAGCTACGGAAGCTAAGAGTTTCCACAGATGGAAAACTTGAAATTGACTGTTGTTGTTACCCTAATTGTCCAAAAGGTAATTCTCTTATTATTAAGATCACTAGCCTAGTGGTTGTTTCTATTGAGTTCGTGCATTCATGGCAGTACTTCGGGTTGAACCAAGCTTGGTTGAAATCGAATGTCGATGCATGCTATGAAGCTACGGAAGCTTAGAGGTTCACAGAAGGAAAACTTGGGATTGAGTATCGTTGTTACCCTGATTGTCCAAAAGGTAATTCTCTTATTATGAAGATCTCTAGGCTAGTGTTTGTTTCTATTGCATAACTGAAAAGGTCACAAACAATGGAAGTCTCTAATGCCAATATTTGATACAGAATAATAATTATAATCATCAAAATTTTTCATATTAACAAGGAACTACTTCTATTCGGCTAATACTTTTAAAATAAGGCAGATCTCTCAATTCAGATTAATAAATACCCAATGCACGAATATCGCTCGTCTCAGTTAGAAACAATAAGAATTAATTATGTATATTATATGGATAAAAAATATGCATGATAGGAAGGAGCCACTTGTATAAGGTAGCAGTGACATTACACAAAAAGCAGAACACTAATATACAAGCAACAACAAAACTGCAAATGGTACTTAGATACTTGCTCGTATTCTTGTTTTCCTCGAAAATCTTTGTCAATAAGAAACATTCTAAATTATTTTTTGATTGATGAATTTTACTTTGATGTAGTAAGCTTGTCAGACATTTAGGCAAAAATACCAACATCGACAACTGGAAGAACCATCCCTGGGTCATGGATACTAAAGGAAACAAAATAAGCTTGGGAAAACCAGTCTGCCAATATGTAGTAAGCTTGCCAGACATTTAGGCAAAAATACCAACATCGACAACTGGAAGAACCATTCCCTGGGTCATGGATACCGAAGGAAACAGAATAAGCTTGGCAAAACTAGTACGCCAAGATACATATCTAGACATTTGAAAGACCCCCAAAGTGGCACATATGTGCATCGTGATGAGTTCATATGTTGCTCTTAATGCAACAAAGAACATCGTTTTTCTATTCGAACCAAAGAACTATGCAGGATCTACCATGATGTATTTCTTAAACAAGGCATGCAATGTTCAGATTTGCCACAAAACAAGTATTTTTCTCTATCTATACTACATCCCAGTCTGGTTATTATTTGCTCCAGTTGTTTTCATTCAGTGAAAGGTTAATCTAGACATACTCCAATCAAATCATAAGAAAGATTCTAACTAATAAAAACTTCAATTTGCAGGGGATGAGAAATTACTAATATATGTTTTGAAAGTAGTTAACTCCATGCAGCTTATACAGGCTCCAGTTAGAAATAAGACGTGCATTGTGCGTGCCATAAAAGAAAATACCGTGCTCCATGCGTGCCCAAGCAGAATGCTAAATGTATGACACATGCTTTTGCTATTTACTTATTTTACTATCACTTCTAAATTTATTGGCTTGCTTTATTGAGCAATTTTCCCTACTGCAAAATTATCTTTAAGTTTTTGTTGACAACAAATGACATCATGTGCAAGTTAAATCATACTGGATTTCTATTAGTTCAAGGGTCCTAATCACTTTTCCAGGTTAACATGTGACAATGCTGAGCAGCATAATAGTTGATTACAAAGTGGAGGCTATTCTCAAAAGTTTAATTGCAAAACCAGCTTCCAAGACATCCTTTTACATGCAACACCACCAAATTACTTTTCTTATATTTATCATAAATTAAGAAACTGGCTATTCACAAGGATAAGCTAACAAAAAGTGATATAAATAATTAAGAAATCAAAATCCTAATATTTAAATATATTAGATGCAAATGAGTCAATGCTGACCATTACCAAACTATGAAATGAACACAAACTTGGAAGCCAGTAGATGTAGCAAAAGAAGTTTCTATTGAATACAATCAGAACAAATAGAGGTGAATAGGAAGGGAAAAGGACACAAATGTAAGAAAGAACAAATTCAGATAGAATCTGGACTTTAACAAGAATGACAGAGTTGCATAAAACAAGAAATAATTTCATTTCGCCACTAGCAAAGAGTAATGCAGATAAGGAAGAGTGGACGAATGCTATCACTAAGTAATAATGCGGATAAGGAAGGGTAGAAGAATGCTAGCACCAGGTTCATCTATACTTACACCCAAGATCATCATGATCCCAAGAAGAAATCAAAGTGTTGGTACTTTGGTTAAGTTAATCCTTATTAAAAAAGTTTAGTTAGTTTATTATTCTCAGTAATCATTTTTTTTGTCCAAGGTAAACTGTGTTGCCATTTCATTCATCCAAACAATCTTGTGTACAATACTATCTGACTTCTATTACATTTATCTCTTATTGACAATTATTTTCACAATTATATAGCCCATGTTTCTAAGATCTTTTGTTCTGCCAGACTGAGTTTTTTGTAGCAGAACCTGACCCTAATCCTGACTTCTTCCTTAATGAGCATTACTAGTTGATCTTCTAGTCTTGTGCGCTGCTGAAATATTCTCCAATTCCGCTCTTCTCACAGGTGATATATGGTCGCATTCAACACTGGATATATGATTTCATGCTTCATCTTTGTAGTCCTCCAAATGTACTGTATTTCCATCCTCCATCTGCCATTCTGTCCATCCAAATTCCCAATTCCAAGCCAAGTTTTGATACCTTCCAGTACATTTCTAGAGAAACAGCACTCAATGAAAAGATGCTTCCAATTTTCGGTCTGATTACCACAAAAGCAACACTTGGGCTTATCTATATTCAAGTTCCATTTCATTAATCTTTCCTTGGTCTACTGCCTATCTTTACACATCAATCAAGTAATGAAGGAATGCCTTGGTACATTCAACCTAGCCCAAATCCATTTTGCATCATACCAAGATTCTGCTTCTCCAATAAGCTTCTTATAACCTTCAGTTATAGTGTAAGCCAGTCCTATTATGCTTCCATCTAGTCCCCTCAAAATCATCTCTAACCTTGTCTCTAATCTCCAATAATTGCTTCCAATGCCAACTGCAGTCTTGCTTTGGCTGAACATACCATATATCATCATCTTTCAGATACAATTCATGGGTCCATTTGACCCATAAATTGTCCTTTTCCAAGTCTAACCACCATAACTGCTTAACCATTGCTGGACCATTCCATATTCGAGCATCCTTTATACTTAACCCTCCTTCAAACTTCCTGTGACATACCATTTCCCAGCCAACCAATGTTGTGTATTTCCCAGCTTCTCTTGCTCCCCATAGAAATTCTCGACAGCATCTGTTAACTGCTTCAGTAATACTCCTAGGTAATATAAACACTGAGGCCCAATATACTTACATATGGAGTAAAACCGAGTTTATTGCTGTAACCTTGCTGCGTAGGAAATATTCCTAGTACTCCAACACTTTAATCTGGTAAATATACGGTCCATCAGGCTCTGACAGTCCTGTTTATTCCATTTCTGGGGTGATAATGGTAGCCCTAAGTACTTCATTGGAAATATTCCTTCACTAAACCCAGTCATCTCTACAATTTTCACCTTCAGCAATTCCGGTACTCCCCCAAAATAGATCGAAGATTTCCCCAAGTTAGCTTGCAGATGTTGTTGAGAATCCCTTAAAGCACCTCATTATCTCCCTAACCGTAAACTCATCAGGTTTACAAAAAACAAGCAAATCATCGGCAAAACAAATATTCGTCATCTTGAGCTCCTTACACTTTGGGTAGAACCGAAATCTTGGATTCTTAGCTGCTCTAAAGTTAAAGGAGACATAGGGTCTCTGATGGGGACAAGGAATGGTAGAAGAACCCTATCAGTAGGTTCTTCTATATTTATGCCCAGGATCATCATGATCCAAGGAAGGAGCCAAAGTGTTGGGACTTTGGTTAAGTTAATCCTTTATTAAGCAATAATTTAATTATTTATTTCAGTATTAATATTTAGGAAAGGGTATTTTAGTATATTAGCTATGCTGCAGGAATTTCTTGGAATAAAAAGGAAATTAGGTGAGAATCCTAGTTGTCTTTGGTTTAGGTTAAGTTTTAGGCCTATTTATATGTACCTCATATGAGGAGATTTTTGGAGAGACGTTGATTAATAAAAATTCCTACAATAAGCTTTGCTTTGCAGTAGTTGTATGACTCAACTAAATCCTTGGTGTGATGCTTAGGATTCCTGCGGTGTGACACCAAAGGGCCCTAAGAGTGATTCTTAGGTTTTCTTGTCTTCTTCCTTTCCTACCCTTAATCCCTGTTTTCCTACGATTTCTAAGCTTGTTGTCCTACAGATTCTTTTAGTTTCTGCTGCATATTACTCTTTAATCAGCCTAAGTTCTGATTTCTTAACCACCACGTTTTTGTCCTGCGTCAATTTGGCATCAGAGCCGAATTTCCTGGGGTTTTTAATACTTTTTCGATCAGATTGGAATTGATTTTCCTGATGAATTTTGTTTTCAAAAGGGTTTAAAGAATCAACAGCTATGAATCCCCATAGCATAGGTTATCCTAATTTGCCTTGTAGTTAGAAATCGTTGAGGAAGATGAGCAGGAGTACAATGATGATGAAGAGGAGATGGGCATGGTTGATACTGAAGATTTGGAGGAGGTAGAAGATGATGTTGATATGTCCTATCTTTCACTAATTTGGCGAATTTCTAGAGCACCAAAAACAGGAGAAGAAGATTCGAGAAGGACAGGAATCTTTTAGACATTCGTTTATTGTGGGAAAGCTATCAAGAAAGTGATTATAGATGGAGGTAGTAGTGCGAATTTGGTTTCTGAATCCACTGTTGAAACGTTGAATTTAAGAACAAAGCCACATCCATACCCGCATAAAGTTGGTTGGATTAATGGCACAACTATTCCTGTGACGAAGTGTTGCTTGGTAGACATCAAAAGAGGTAGGTATGTTGATTCTATATGGTGTGATGTTATTCCAATGAATGTTTCACATATAATCTTAGGAAGACCTTGGTTATATGATCGGGAAGTAGAGCATGATGGTAGAGCCAACACCTACTCCTTTAACTTCAACGACATAAAAGTTGTTTTGAAGCCCTAAACAGATGAATATATGATGAAGCATTACCTACCTAAGCAAAAAAGTGATCAAGTGATTCCTAAGGTTTCAACTCTAAATGTTACTAAGGAGGACAAAAAAGTTTCAGGTCAGAATTCTACCGAAGCTACAATTGAGTTTGTCCAGAATCAAGTAGAACAAGATAAGAAAATTCTTAGTTGCCCTACAGAAGATGGAAAACCTGGTCTTAATGTTATTGATTTTCAGACAGAAAAACCTCCAAAACCACCGGACTTTTCAGGACTCACACATAATTTCATTATCATTGCTGAGGATGTGTGTAGAGAGGCTGTTCAGAATCAAAATTTGGTTGAGTCTGCAGAAACGTTCAAGGATGAACCTATTGTTCAATTAGTTCAAGACAGTAGCTCGCTGGTCCTTGCGGCTCAGGAGACTACAATGGAAGATTCAGAGGTTCAGAATTTTGCCGAGGCATCTTTAGAAAAGTCCGATGATGAACTTACTGATCATGTGGTTCAACAAGACAACAATCCTATGATCTATGTGGTTCAGGAGTTTAATAAGAAGACTACAAATAAATCTACGGCTGTTCAGGATTTTAAGGAGGATTATAAAGGAGAAGCCACGAATGTATTGGTGAAAGAAGTAGTTCAAGAAGTTCAGCAAAGTAAGCTTACTGAGAGCGCTGATAAGCCTGAGATTTATCAACTTAATACATTTGGTAATAAGGCAAAAGAAGTACAACTTCTCAATCTTGGTGAGATTCAAGAGGACGTAGCTAAAGGAGGAGCCCTACTGAGAAATATTTTGGATCCTAAACTGGAGGGAGGTTCTGGTTCATGTGAGAAGTCAACTGACTTGATTCATGGAAACCTTGCTACAAGTCCGAATGAACTTTTTGGAGAGACGTTGATTAATAAAAATTCCTGTAATAAGCTTTGCTTTGCAATAGTTGTGTCACTCAACTAAATCCTTGGTGTGATGCCTAGGATTCCTGCGGTGTGACGCCAAAGGGCCCTAAGAGTGATTCTTAGGTTTTCTTCTCTTCTTCCTTTCCTACCCTTAATCCCTATTTTCCTGCAATTTCTAAGTTTGTTGTCCTATAGATTCTTTTAGTTTCCGCTGCATATTACTCTTCAGCCTAAGTTCTGATTTCTTAACCACCATGTTTTTGTCCTGCGTCAGTCTCCTTGCCTTAAACCCCTTTTACCCTGGAAGTACCCAATTGTACTGCCATTTAAGCATAACGAGAAGGATGGTGTAGTAATACACAACACAATCCATCTCACAAAGTTAGCAGGAAACCCAAATCCTATCAAACACTCTTCTACAAACCCCCACTCTACTGAATCATAGGCTTTTTTTAAATAAATTTTCATAGTACATCAACCACTCGTATTTTGCCTACCATACAATCTAATAAGTTCTTGCATAATCAATATATTATGCACGATAAGCCCATCTTTTATGAAAGCACTCTGGTTAGAAGCCACAATTTTATGCAACACTTCACTAAGCCTATTACTAATAATCTTAGTAATACACTTATACACAACATTACAGCACGATATCGGCCTATACTGGCTAGCATCAATAGGGTTCACAACTTTATGGATTAAAGCAATAATGGTAGCATTCAATTGTTTAAGAATCTGACCTTTATCAAAGAACTCTAACACAGCAGCAGTGAGGTCCTGGCCTGTAATGCTCCATGTCTCTTTAAAGAAATCGCTCCCAAATCCGTCTGGCCCCGGGCTTTTGTTGGAGTGTATTCCCCATATCACTTTTGGAATTTCTTCCTTAGTGATTGGCCTGATTAGTCGCAGTTGTTCCTCTGTACTAAATTTGCTCCCATATGCAAAAACCTCCTTGCTAGCATTTTTTTTTCCAGCTGATTGCCCCAATAATGCCTGAAAGAAATCTATGAAGTGCTCCTCGATGCCCTTCCAGTCCCGAACCACTTCTCCATCAGAATTAGTAATACTCCAAATTCTATTCCCCATTATCTTCTTCTTTATCTTAGCGTGAAACAAAGCTGTGTTAGAATCCCCTTCTCTAACCCAGTCCTCTTTTGTCTTTTGTCTCAAGAACATGTCATTTGCTTTATTAATAGTGATTCATTCCTCATACATTTCTCTTTCCTATCGTTGCAGCTTAATGTCAGTTGGATTCCTTCCCAGCTCTTGCTACAACCTCAGAAGGTTCTCCCTGGCCATCTGAGTATTTACTTGAATATCAGCTAAACCTCCTTTATTTAAGGCTTTCAGGGGAGCCTTTAATATTTTCAATTTACATGCCAACAGAAACATTCTTGTTCCTACAACAGGCTCCTTCCAACTCTGATCAATGACATCCCGAAAGTTAGGATCCAACTTCCACATATTGAAATACTGAAATGATTTTGGTTTATGCAGCACCTCCCTATGAGTTTTTATCAGCAATGGAGTATATATGGTCAGATACTCGCTCCTCCAAGGTAAGTGCCAATGATTCATTCTGCTTATCCACCCATGCTTCATTGATCATCACCCGATCCAATTTTGCAAGTATTCTCTCCTGTCCCACTTTCTTGTTACTCCAGGTAAACTGAACTCCTACTTTTCTCATATCTTGCAATGCACACTTTTCCACACATCTTTGAAAACATTCTATTTCATTCATTGTCACAAGCCTGCCACCTAGCTTCTCTTCCTCATTGAGCACATTGTTGAAGTCCCCAGTCATTATCCATGGGCCTTGAACTGTATGGTGTACATCCATTAGATCATCCCACAGGAGCTTCCTGTCCTTCTCATCATTAGAGGCATAGATTCCAGCAAAATGGAACTGAAAATCTAGCTCCTGTAGCTTAACCAGACAATGTATCATCAGGTAATTGCTACGTAAGACTTGCAATTGTATTGCATCATCCCACAACAAACTGATTCTACTCTTCCCATTGCTACCATAACTTGTATACCATTTTCTGCTACACCAATTTTTATACACCTCCTCAGCTTTTTCCTTGCTTAACTTGGTTTCCACAATACATGCTATAGCTACCTTATTTGCAGCCAAGAGTCGATTTAACTCTTGTTGCTTTACAGGGGCATTAAGGCCCTTGATATTCCATACTAGCAGACTACTCATTGATCCCTGGATCAGGGTTAAGAGTGGTTACAGCTCCCTTATCATTGGTCCCACCTCCCTCCTTTTGACATCCTGAAGGGCTACCTTGTTTGAACATACTGTTCCATATTGCATGTTTTCTTGCCACATTCTCATTCATTTTTCCAATTACCATGGGACGATAGATCCTCTCTTCACCTTTATCCAGTGATTTAGTGTTAGCCTCCTGCCTGCTAATGCTATTACCCTTCCCTGCCTTATCCTTCACCATTCCATCAGATACCACCTTCCCAACTGATGCCCTAACTCTGTTAACATCAATCCCCCCTTCCTTCTACTTTTTAGGATCATTCCTACACACCGCTGCTGGAATGCCCATATCCCATACAACTCTGACACTGAATTGGTTTCCATACATAGTTAACCCGCTGCTGCTGTATATTCCCACATTCATCCTCAAAGCAGATTACATCTGGCATTAGCGATTGAACTTCCATCTCCACCATAACCCTAGCATACTATACCTTATCCCTACTAGCAGTGGCCTCATCAGTCTTAATAGGTACGTACCCCCAATATGCTAGTCATTCTTACTCAATGTATAATTATTCCAGTATTTAAGCTCAAGTCCCTTCAACTGCACCCATATAGTAACCCTACTAATCTCTTTGTAATTGATCCCCTTTTCTACTGACCAAGGTTTAACCACCATAGGCTTACTTCCCCAATGGTACATGTTATGCTTTAACACAATATCATGAGCATGCAATGAGGTAAACCGTACCACAAATAAACCTGATGGTAAGAGAATTACCTTATTCACGCCCAAATATCCCGAGAGATTTTGGATATGATTATTAATGACAACATAGGGTGGATTAGCTCCCAAGACAAAGCATACAATCGACGGCGACCAGTAGTGGGCCTCAGTCTCAACCTTACTCGATTGCACCTGGTAGATCTTCCTTCCATTCACTTCCCCTGGAGTGATGAATTCCAGTTCTGACCCATTCCCTCTAAATTGTTCAACATCGAAATTCTGCCATGGATTCTCCGCCGGCTTCTTCTCGTTCGCATCTGCCCAGGAAACCCAACGATCTTCTCTCTTCCCATTATCCGAATTCTCTGTCTGCTTCTTAGGGCTTTGTTCTTGCTCAAGAACTTCTAGATCTGCCTCCGTCAATGGAAGCTTGTCATTCTGCACATAATTCCCCTCATTAATCACAACCTCCTTCACCTTAATTTCCTCACCAACACCTTTCTTCGTCACTTTTCTCACAATTTTTGCCATCGCGTTGCGCAAGTTATCAATACGCTATCCTACACCGAGAGAACTCGTGAGAGAGGAGAGAGAAAGTTTTTAACTCTAAAGAAAATATTGTAATGGAACTTTAGTAATCATTTTTAGAAAGAGCGTATTTTATCTATTATGCAGGATTTTCTAGAATAAAACGGAAATTAGGTGTGAATCCAAGTTGTCTGTTGGTTTAGGTTAAGTTCTAGGCCTATAAATAAGGTACCTCATACGAGGAGAAATTTCACATTTCAGTGGAATAAAAAATTCCTGTGATAGACTATGTCTTCCTTGGTTGTGTGATGCAACTTATCCTTGGTGCGATGCCAAGGAATCCTGCAGTGTGATGCCAAAGAGCCCTAAGAGTGATTCTTAGGTTTTCTTCTGGTTTCCCTGCGATTTTCACCTTATTTCCCTGCAAATTTCTTTCAATTATTCCGCTGCCTTCTACTCATTAGTTAGCATAAGGTCTTATTTCATAACTACCACACATGCCCTACATCAAATCAACTGCTTCAGCATTAGTTCGATGAGGTGTTTCTCAACTAAGTAATGAGCATCTGAATAGTTATGAAACCACTGATGTAAAAAATAATTTTTTGGCACAGTTTAACTGTTTCGATCTAGCGAGCACTTCCAACATTCTCAGTAGGGCAGAGCAATAAGTAGTGAAATTTGATGCTGATCAGCATACCATATTGGAACCAATACAAATACCTTTTTTGGTTGTTCTTTCTTTGGCTTTAGATCATGAATTTCAATCATGAGAAGTGAGATGCAAATTTATAAAATGCACAATAGTTTTATAAAGGCATAAATGAGGCCCTCATATATCAATGACATCACACAAGGAAAAAGAATAAATATACCAATTCGAAATTTACGAACACTTGCCTTATACATTGCAAGACCCTCTTTCTCAGTGCCATGTTTATTATCACATACAAACAGTCGAACCAAACTGTAAAAAAGAATAGTCAAAAGTATAAAAGGGAACAATCACAACTACAAAGAACAAGCAAGACCAATTCAATTCATAACAAGTGTAACTAAGGGCAAAGCACAAAGAATGTCAGGACCTGAACTCATATATATTCTAAATGAAGAGCATTGACAAATTTTGCTAAGTCATGTTGGATATGCAAGTGTGACTGGTTGAACTTTGTATAATTCTAAACATAAAAATTTGTTCATCATAACAATGAAGGATCTCTACTTGTGTGGCCAACCATTTCATTTTGTTTCTCTGCATATTTTGCATTTTATTACTAAAAGAATGGGTGGTCAAGCCCACCCTGGTACTTGAAAACAAATGTACAACTTGTTTTCATCATAAGAGAGATTGCACAAAAAGAAAGTTCAACTATAGAACTTTTTGTCCTCTAAGATTTAAAAGAATGTATAATAGCCGTTCATTTTTATCTAAAAAAGTGATACTTCATATTCTTGGTTGTGAAAAGCTTAACCACCACGAAACACAGATGTGTTAAGTGAGAAAGAAATATCGCATTCCTTTTGGGTAGGTGGACAAGGAGAAACAGGAAGAGATAAAGCAAAACGAAGTCTTCTCAACCACTTGCAATCCTTAAATATTTGGTGATGTACAGAAGGCCAGAAATGTTAAATTTGCTTACTTGGAACAGTTCGTAGGCTTTGTGTTTAAAGGAGGTTTAATCATATCCTATACCCTTCCTCCACTTTCTATTTATCAAATCCATACAAAACTAACAGTAGACCAGCCATAATTACAAGCTTGTTCAAAAAGTTCAACGATAAAACCACAGAAGGAGAAAGGAAACATGAGTGGGAAATGTAAAAACTCAGCAACAATAATATGCCTTGCTATTCTTTTACAGCGACATATCAGCTATGCAATATCCTTGATGAGCAAAGATAATCAACAAGCTAAACACATAATTCTTACAGGACACACACTAATACAGGCTTGAGATGCAACAATGTTGATCCCAGCTGCTCAAATGAGTACCAAGTGACACAAAACAAGCAACAAAGGGCAAGGTAAAGAGAAGGTCAACTGCTGCAAAAGTCTTCCAAATAATAATACTGCTACAAAAGATTTTACAAAAATCTTTCCAACCACTACAAGTTACCTAAACGTGGATGCTCTTGTATGTCAACTCTCAAATTGACACAAAACTAGTCGCAAATACTAATGATATCTACATAAAAGGACATACGAAAAACCTTTTTTCCTTTTCCAGGAAATAAATAGCTTCATCTACAACTCGGCATTATAAATAATATGCTAAACATGTTAGCAATGGGACATTGTCTAGAACTTCATAAGCAAATCATAATGACAAATTCAAAATCTACTTAAGTGTTGAAACGATGCCGGACAATGTGAATAATATAAATTACGGAGGGCACTGGGCAAATATTTATAAACACCAGATTCGCAAGTCACTAAATATATTCATGAACCTAGATCAAAGGATACTCTTTGAATAGCTTATCACAGTAATACTTACTGAGTCTCAATCTCAAGATGAATCCATATCATCCTCCTCGGTCCTTATAAACCTTTTCAACCGAGAAAAATAGCAAAAAATTAAGAAAACCAAAAAATATGGAGATTAATCATGAAGTAAATGCAGAACATGTACAAATACACATCTCAAGACATCCCTCCATAGTAGTATGACTCCGCAAATTTATCTTGGCTGCATATTATCAATCTTGATTAGACAAAACTACAATTCCAACATATTATACTTTGCTCTAACATCACCATTTTTGTTTAATGCAATATAAGACACTTAAAAGGTGGTTGTGAACTTGTTAGCCTTGCCTATATAGATTTTTGGCATCGAAGTTGCCTGTACCAAATCTACAGTCTCCAGTTTTTCTTCTAAAATGAAAATGAGGGCAATGTTAGGCAGAGAACCAGAGTAAAACCATATGGAAAATCGCGTAACACTGGAAATTTCATAAAACAGATCATACAAGAAATCATGTCAAGACTAAGAAGCTCAGCACTCCTCAAGCAATAAGGAGATGGAGAATAAGAAAAATCCAAGAACAATAAGACTACTACGTAGAGTGCTCAGGAGGAAAAAAACCTAAAATACAAGCTACTAAAAGGAATAAAAGTAAAGGTAGCACAAAGAAGAATGTTGAAATGGATGTGGTCACAGCAGATAATCCAAAATTACTTTAGCTCGCATCAAAAGAAAGTTAGTGTAGAACCAACAAATAAGAAAATGGGATAATCATGCTTTAAGAGATATTTTGATATTTATGAGACCTTTAGAAGCCCCCAATAAAACAATATAAAAGTAGGATAAATAAGTCAAATTAGAAGGAAGGGAGAAAGATAGAAAAAATTGGAAGTAACGATGGAAAACGTCATACTATTCAAACTTGGATGAAACAAGTACATGATGCAACATATGAAATCTATAATACATACACCATAAAATCTCCGTATATGTAAACTTATTGTAAACTTATCGCATAGTGCTTAATGTTGAGGAAGGTACTCAAATTAAAGTGGAGAAATGAGAGTATAATTTTATGCCTCAGATAGGATAAATGTAACTAATTCTTAATGTGCAAGGAGGAATAATATGATCACCTTTGATTATGTCTTAAGTCAAAGAAAGAACCTTTGCATAACTATAACCTGCTATAAGTGTATCCCGGTCTACTTTAACAGGCAACTTCTCTGGAACAGATCCTTTTTTGCCGTAGAAGCTAGCTGTAAGACAAATGAGATCAACAAAAGCTATAAGAATCACATGAAACTAACTTCAAACAGTGAAAGTAAGTGTTCAATGATGAAAAAAAAAGAGGATTAGGGGTTAGATGCAGATCAATAAAGATTTTCATTTTGAAAAGAAGCTTTCTCTTCGAGTCTCAGGGATCAGTTAGAACATGTAGTCATATACCAATGAACAAGAACACATTGTTGAGAATAGCACTTCAATCAGAGTCCATCAAGAATGAACATTTAGTATGAGAGATTATAGTGTTTCACTGATCTTTCTACAAGAATGCGGAACCAAAAGGTCAAGCCAGAACAAACTTCCAAGTGCACAAGGAGCTCGAGGAAATGGAATCATAAAATATTTGGACAAATGCAGCCTCCTTTCCCACTTTTACGAAGGAGATTGTTCTTCACTCAAATTATATAGGGCAAAGGAACCAACAGATAAAAAGCTCACTATATGCGGTGTCCTAGTGTCCCATCAAGTAATCAAGAATAACAATTTCAAACGGAAAAGAATGGCATGCAACTATCAAAAAGAAGAATGTTGCTTGCAATTATACAACCTATAGACACTGACTCACATTACAAAGAATAAAGCTGAAAAGAGTGGGAACACCCCAACAATTTCCAGAAAAACAACAAATCCAATCTCCACCCCCTTCTAATTTGAATAATAACAACCTTTAATAACTACAAGTACAGAGCAATGTATGCTCAGCAATCAAAACCAAAAGGGGACATTACAAAGCCAACACAAAGAAACGTTGCAGTTCAGAGTTCCCTAAGACAAATCTAAGACCTGATTCTCTACATTATCACGAAGCCCTTCTCATAAATCAAAATTCTTCACAGATTTTCATGAATTTCCCTTTAAATATTGATGTTCAAAATTCTACATACAACAGAAAAAACCACAACGCAATGAAGTATAGGGGGATGAGAAAAAGATTACAATAAACTAACCGCAGTCATCGATGAACTTCTTGGATGATCATAAGCGTTGAGGCCTTTGATGTGTGATTGATATTGCCTAATTTAAGAGTAACATAAGTATCACCTTCTTCATCTTCAATTTTTCTTCAAAGTCCAACTTTTCCTATACAATATTACATTTATTGGGACATATATTAAAGAAACAGAAAGATACTAACCGTTTTCGAGCTTCTCTGACGAAGATAGTCTGCTTCAGAGACTCCAAAACATCCATTTTTGCCGTAGTTATTCTTTTTTGTGTCTTCTCTTTCTTCTTCCAGCTTCATTGAACAGTGTGTTTGGCGGTTTGCCGTTAAATCGCCAGATGTTGAAGAAATCATATTACAGTCCTTTTAGTTTTCGCATTGTTCTCTTTTGGTGTCAACACATTATTACCAATTTAAAAGGTTTATTACTCAAAATCTATGAAAAACAAATACTAACTTTATCAAAATCATAATTTCCAATTGAAGGTTGCAATTGGATTAATCAATTTCCAATGTACAAATTTTGTTCATGCAAAAAAAAATCTTGGAATTCAGCAATCATATATTTAGCACTAATATATATACACATTTGTTCTAGAATAATGATCAAATGAAAATCTGATCAACGTTTGAACTCACATATTTTAAGAGACTTTATTTATATTCAGAAATTGCAACAATCAAAGGCGAAATCTTCAATTTGATGGCATGTTCTTAAAGAAATAATGCGATCTTAGATACTTACCTAATAAGTTTTGGAAATTTCCTATGACAGAAAGAATGGTGAACATTAATTTCAAGTAGAATAAATGTACATCTCACTGCGCACTCATATCAAACATCTTCTGGGCAAATGAAAACTTTGCACTGTACTTATATCAAACATCTCCGCAGCAAATGAAAACTATAAGAAGTTTGATTTAATTAACGTGACTTGAAACAGAAATGAGATCTAGGCTATACTTACCTGATTCAATATATCTTCCAAATCGATCATAATTTCATCGGCATCTACTAATTTCAGTCTCCCATTGTTGAAGTTTCGACGAAAGCTCTAACTGGCAATACATTTGTGTCCTTGTCAATTTTAGTTCCTATAATATGTTTGAAATTTGACACACGGGATCCTACAAACATCAAATTGACCAAATTCATTGGTAAATATGTCAATTTTATGTGAAAAGCCCCAAATGAATTTCTAAAACTCTAATAACCCCTAATAAATCTTATAAAATTGCAAAAATATCACTACATCCTAACTTATTTACACTCTAAGTCACTCTTCATTTCAAATCTTTTACAAATCAAGTAATTAGTTCTGGCTTTTATGTTACCCTGGCCCTCCTCTGTTAACTATAGATAAAAAAACCATTTGTAAAACGGCGAATCCTTATCATCGTCAATTTCATAGAAAATGTCGAATGCAATCAGAAAATCACAGAGAATTATGGCAAAGAAAGGAGCGGTGGCTGCCGCGGAGGAGGAATATAGTTGAACCGGCGAGCCCAATGCCCGACCAGTAACCGAGGCACGGAAACTCAATAAAGTCGCGTCAGTGTGGAAAACCATATCAGCGATGTGGCGGAAGAAGGCGGAGGAGCGGCAGAAGGAGAGGGAGGAGTTGCAAAAGGATAGGAAGAAGCGTTATTTGAGTAAGAGTGTTTTCCGCGGGTCTGGGGTTGTGAGAAATAAGAAGCTATGGCCTTCAATACAATAAGCAGATCAGCTTCGTTCAATTAATTTCCTCCCAATTGATTTGGGGCTTTTTCATTTCCCCCAAAATTATGTTCTGTTCTTTTCTTCCTCTTCTTCTTTCTTATTTCGTGTGTATGATTTGATAAATTGGATTTTTTTTCTTCTTCTTCTTCTTCTTCTTCTTCATTAAACAAGGTTATAGGGTGACTTGTTTTCCGGATCTTGACCCGACGCACGATTCCTTCCTTCGTATTTGGATTTCAACAAAATATGAATGGGTATATAGGTGGCTAAAATTCACCAGATGTGTAAGGAATGCATCACGGAATTCAACAAAAGACAACGACATTGTGGTCATAAACTCAGAATGATCAGGAACTTGAAACAGAGGAGTACAAGTTTGATCGGATCAACTTTGTCACTCTTCTCCGCCGAGCTGTGGCTTTAGAATTTTATCTTACTTTGCTGGCTGCTGCTGTTGATGATGATGATGATGATTCCAATCGAAACCTGTGGAGCAAAGTATTATTACGGCATGGTTAATTAAACCTAGTGACAGTAAGGTGCTTCTCCGTGAACTGAAAGATGTGCTTGATGCCAAGAATCAAAAGGACCGAGCAGCTCGTGTGCCTTTGCCAACTCCCCTGCTGCGGACCACCTTAAACTACTTCTCCATTGGCTGGCTGTTTGACCCCAAAATGGATTTGGGTCTTTTTGACAGGCCGATTCGACCGTCAACCGAAGAGGAGCAATTGTTGTCTGAATTGGTTTCGGTTTTGGAAGATTTTCGGTTTTGGAAGCTTCTCATTGTTTGCTGTTTCTTCTTATATAAATGAGTTATTATAGTAATTAATTGGCATGGAATATAAGAGAAAAGGAACCCTATAAGTGTTTGGTTTAGTGTATTACCTAATGAAAGTAATCTAATTGGTTTGAAGAGAAGTTAGATTTAAGCTTGGAAGCTTCATGTGATGTTTGGTCAAACTACATTACTACATGGTTCTTTATTAAACATGCATGATGATGATCATTATTAGTATTTCACTTTGTAGTAGTTGTTTAATGCAGATTTGGATTCAAAGCTACTTTGTAGGAAAACAATTCATGGACTCTTGGCCGAAACTTTATCAATTAGAGTTCAACCTGTGGTGACTTTCTTCAAACAGTCTATAAAAGGCGGCCGAGACATCAACACAAGAGACAACACCTCTCAACATCGATCATCATCGACTATCATTTTTATTCATTTTTCGTTTTTTCTTTCATTGACTTTTATCATGTTTTTCTAGTGTAGCCTAGCCTAAATAGTTGTTGGCCTATTTTCCTTCATAGAAATAGGTAGTCGTTCATCGTTTTATACTTTAGTGAATTCGATTCCTCCTTGTAAAATAGCATTATCGACGTTCTCCATAACTAGTCGACGCTATGTATCTCTTTTTCTCTCAATCCTTATGAATCGACGGCCACCACTCTTTGGCTTGTCTCACTTCTTTCTATATCTTTTTCTCTTTATCATTAAACCAAAGTGAACCCTAAGTCCTCGATTATAGGTCCGAGGCCGGTTTTAGAACACATCCACAATCACTTGGTTTTGTATGTTTTAGGAGATTTTCAACCCTTCTTTCTTACGCTTTAGGGTGATTTTTTCGGCACAAACATAATGGCACGCTCAGTGAGACAAGCTTTGGTTTGATTCCCAGATCGTGGTGGTTTTTCCTTCTAAAAATTTTTATTTTTAAAATCTCTCTTTCTTCTTAAAAGAAAATAAATTTTTTTTTCGTTTTTTATTATGGGATCCGATCTTAGTAGCCCTAGGGATCCGATCTATACTTCTCCATATATTGGTCGCCTAGTGATCCCCAATCCCCATATTCTTATAGTCCATTACCACTTGGTAGGCATATCAATCAACAGCCCGCAGTTCCACATGTGGGACATAATTCTTTGGGGGCTGAAAATAATATCGGATGGTAGGCTACCCTTGATGGCCGCTTTCCTCAATCTTATGATTAACATGGTGTGAAGCAGCAATCTAGTTGCATTGACGGACGGCGTGACCGGTCTATGGTGCAAGATCCCTCAAGATTCGGGGGGGCTGCCCGCTGTTGGTAATCCAAATACTACAAATAATTTTTACAATATGCTAATTAGTGAAAACATGGCGCAACAGATACAATCACAACAACTGCAGGTTTTGTTCCCGCAACAACAACAAGTTCAGGTGCAGGCGCAACCACATCAGGTTATGCCACTGCAGGATCAACAAGTTCTGTTGCAGGCACAACCATAGCAAGTTTTGTCTCAGTAACATCAACAAATTCAGATGCAGGTGTTGCAATAGTTGCAGTTATAGCAGGTAGTGCCACAGGTACAGAATGTGCAGGTGGTACAACAATCTCAGCAGACGCAAGAAGCAAGTGAAAGTTAAATTGCAATAACAGATCAATTGCAAGAAAATTTTGTGACAAATTTATCGTTGACACCCGGAGGGCTACCTGTGATTTTGATGCTGAATGTGGCAAGCTTAGGAAAGCCTGCAGGAAGAGTCTGACTACCCCCAACAAGCGTTTGTCGCTGCAAATGAACAGGTGTTGCAGTCATTACATACAATTTCGATGAGTGAATCATTGCCGATTATTGAAACTATAGTTGTCACTGAGCATTGTGTGCATACTGATTCGTATTGTTAGCCTAATGAATATGTCATTGTTGAAAATGAGTTTATTGAAGTTGAGTGCATGAAATCTTGTGAGTCTTCTAGCAGCGACAATGATATTGAGGAGATTATTTGTGACAGCTGCGACAATGTTTCATCTGCAACTGATAATTCTGTTTGTCCAAGTGTCGACGAAATTAAGGGCGAGCAAGAGCAAGGCCAAGTGGCAACTCCTGATGCCAGCTTATCTGTGACAGCTGAACCGGCATAATGCTTAGTCGTTGATGATCCAAAAGAAGCAGCAGCAGACCAACAAGTTGCAGTTTCTAATGATGGCTTCCCAAATCGGCGGTGCAACAGTAGTGCTGAATTCATTAATGATGCAACAAATTCCATGCTAGTTAAGCAGAAGTCTAATCATGAATGGCTTTATGACAAGAGGGGTTCTGCCAATAGAAGAAGCAAGCGGAATAAAGGGAAGCCAATACTGCATGGTTTTCACTTTGTAGAAAAGGTTGATGACGGTCCCCAATTACGCGGCATTGATTTTGAAGGTGGCGACAGTAATTATGCTTACTTAGATTATGGTGCTGCTGTCGAATGGAGGATTGATTTAGCTAAAGATCGCAAGTTGCTGAAATCCTTTATTGCCCGAGAAAAGAAGCGTTCTGCAAGAGCTCAGTCGAAGAAGCTTACACCCTAATTAATGCGGCCAAGCAAAGTCAGAGCATTTGAGACCAAGGTTGCCAATGCTAAGGTTAGTAATGTGTCGGCTAAGATTAGTAGTGATGTAACTATCCAATGTGTGGCCGATCATGAGAAGGAATCTGCTGTTGAAGCTGATGATAACGCCAACGACGATCAAGATAGTTCTGTTGCAGATGTTAGTAAGTTGTCGACGGTTAATAAAGCAGCTGAAAGTATCAGCGCAACAACAAGCTCTCAGGTTGAGAATGATAGTGGGTGCCAGAATAGTGGTTCCCCTGCACATGAGGGTGAGTTCCAGCAAGCTCATAAGGTTCGTCGCGACAATATTGGCAACCATACTTGGAGTCGACGTAGTTCAAGAAGTGCAGGCACAACAGGTGATTTTTGAAGGAGACGTGCAATATCTTGGCGAAGTAAGCATGCTCCTCATTTTAATCATGATCCTCATTTTGCAGGGGTGTCGTATTACTTTGTTATTCCAGCAGGTTGGCATTATGTCGATGTTAGTGCCATGCCGAATGCTTATTTCTGCTGACATTGTGCTTATCAACACTCACATCTCATTCCATTCCATGTAAGCGTTCAGGGGGCTTTATGTTTGACCCCAAAATGGATTTGGGTCTTTTTGATAGGCCGATTCGACCGTCAACCGAAGAGCAGCAATTGTTGTCCGAATTGATTTCGGTTTTGGAAGCTTCCCACCGTTTGCTATTACTTCTTATATAAATGAGATATTATAGTAATTGATTGGCATGGAATATAAGAGAAATAGAACCCTATTGGTGTTTGGTTTAGTGTATTACGTAATGGAAGTAATCTAATTGGTTTGAAGAGAAGTTAGATTTAAGCTTGGAAAGCTTCGCGTGATGTTTGGCCAAACTACAGTACTACATGGTTCTTTATTAAACATGCAGGATGATGATTATTATTAGTATTTCACTTTGTAGTAGTTGTTTGATGCGGATTTGGATTCAAGGCTACTTTGTAGGAAAACAATTCATGGACTCTTGGCCGAAATTTTATCAATTAGAGTTCAACTTGTGGTGACTTTCTTCAAACTGTGTACTACGGGATGTCTATAAAAGGCGGCTGAGACATCAACACAAGAGACAACACCTCTCAACATCAATCATCATCGACTATCATTTTTATTCCTTTTTCATCTTTTCTTTCATGTACTTTTATCATGTTTTTCTAGTGTAGTCTCGCCTAAATAGTTTTTGGCCTATTTTCCTTCAAAGAAATAGGTAGTCGTTAATCATTTTATACTTCAGTGAATTTGATTCCTCCTTGTAATAGCGCATTATCGACGTTCTCCATAGCTAGTCGGCGCTACCTATCTCTCTTTTTTCCCATTTTAATGAATTGATGGCCACCACTCTTTGGCTTGTCTCACTTCTTTCTATATCTTTTTCTCTTTGAAGTGAACCCTAAGTTCTTGATTATAGGTCCGAGACCGGTTTTAGAAGACATTCACAATCGCTTGGTTTTGTATGTTTTAAGAGATTTTCACCCCTTCTTTCTCCAGCTTTAGGGTAATTTTTTCGGCACAAACACCGGCACTAGCTAGAGAAGTCCTGAATTCTGAATTCTGATCAGGTGATATATAAAGTAGTATGATTTTGTCTGGAGTGTAGTTAGCTCGTTTGATCTTCGAATGGTTAAAGTTTATGGATCTACAAGTCGTCTGCATTTAAGGCTTTCTAAAGCGGTTGTTTTTGAAAAAATGCCTAACATAGAATCCAAATTTTACATGCTTTTGCTTTGATAGAAATTGCATTTGATTATTTACTTCACCTACGTACTCCCGGTAGCGTGTTTTTTTTCGGTCAACCTCTCAATCACAACTTTCCCCTTTTTTTCAACAAAAAACAGACTTGTTCTCACTAAATTTTACAAGGGTGAGTGTGACAAAAAAGAATCAAGTTTTCTTTTACTTAAGTATTTGGTCATTTGTGAGATATATTACATTCATATAACATTTCACTAAATTAATAATCTACGAATTAATAATTTGGAGTAATGATAATTTTTTTCAGGTCTCAACTTGGGTCAGTACAAAAAGACAACAAAAACGATAGAATAACAAGATAACAAATAATTTATTACTATTATTATTAATATTATTTAAGAAGATTTAGTAAAATTTGTACTTATTATTGATGTTTTTTTTTATAAAAAAAAGATTGTTATTTAAGAAAATTTATCTTCGATTTTTTCGATTCCCTCTAAAAGACATGACGCCCTGTTTCGGTCGCCAAAATAAATTAAGCATTTGCCATAATAGAAAAGAAGTCCGGGTTTTGCCATTTTTCTTCTTGTTCAGATGTATCAAAATGACCGCTTTCTCTTGGAAAAATGTTAAATTAGTGCTCAACTTTCAACTCGATGTCAATTTCACTCTGATGTATTAAGAGAGAATCAATTTCATCCTAATATACTGTAATTCGGACAAATTCATCCTTCTGTGATCTGTCGTCCAATTAACAAATTCCGGCTATTGATTTGGTCAAAGATCTTCGACAATTATGCTTTACGGATCCTTAGGTTACTACGAAAACGAACAAACAAATGTGAGTAGAGGAAATGAGAATGTTAAGATAGATGTATGGACATACTAGATTAGATAGCATTAGAAATGAGAAAAAACTACTTAATGTGATTCGGGCATGTGCGCAGGAGATCGGTAAAGATTCCCATTAGGAGGGTAGAATTTGCAGAATCAAAAATCAAATTAAGAGGGGATAAAGGTGGATCTAAGAAAACTTGACTATAAAAAATTACTCGAAATATTTAAATTTGTGAGATATCTATGTAACGATTGAGCACGTTGGCAATATATGAAATGGTAGAACTGACCCCATCTTGTCGTAAAGATACTTGTTGTTTCCGGGCTAAAATTGACACTCTACTTATACATCAAGATGTAATTGAAATTGGGCTGAAAGTTAAGAACTAATTTGATACTTTTTCCTCTCTTTCAACACCAAAATTTTGTATTTCGAACCCTGTATTCAACCGTAAAATTCGTAAACCAAAATATACATACATAAACATTCTAAGGTCTTCCTCTTTTTATCATACGAACCTTGCTTTTATGAATTTCTAATGTGCATGATTCACATAAGATGTCGATATCTAGTTGATTTTCAGAAGTCTACCAATCAGATTTGAAACTAGTCAAAAGATCTGTAACAAAATCAACTTGTAATCATCCATCAATTTCAATTTGATTTGATAATTGTAACAAATTAAAATTAAAAGGTTCTTGTTTGTAGTAAAAAGAAATTGAAGGAACTAAAAGGATCAAATCTATAATTATTTTATTGAGAGCTCAGGGCGTGTCACTCTGTTTGTGTATAATTGACGGCCTCATACACAAATTCAGTCGTCTCCTTTATTTTTCGAGGGTTTCTCTTCTCTGTTCTCCATTCCATCATCAAAAGAAGAAGTAAAGCTATGCTTTTGAACTCAGTCAGGATCGGTTTACTGATCCCCCATGTTGAAATTTGTGAAGAATGTTTCTCCAGATATGCAAAATCCAAAGAGGAAATCACCGAGAATCATGGTGGCGGAGGGAGGCGAGGTCGACCAACAAGTAAGGAAAGCGCGGAGATACAAGGTAAGGGTGTCACTGTACAGAGAGATATCAGCGATGGTGGAGGCGGAGGATACAAAGGAGAAGCAGAAGAGGTTGGAAGCGCGGAAGCGGGAGGAGGAGCTCCAGAAGATGGAAATGGAGAGGTTGATTAGGGGGGAATACGACCAAATCAGAAGAAGGATTTGGGGGCGGAGTGGCGATGGATTTAGATATTGCCCTACCCTTGTGAAGGCTATGGATAAAAGGCTATGGCGTCGGGTCAGTTTTTTTATACTACTTCGTTTAGGTTTGATTTTGCTTTACCTTAATTAAGTTTTCTGTTCTTTCTTTCTTTCTCTACCAGGGTTATATGGTGACTTGTTTTCGGGGTGCTTGCGTCAATGCGAAATCCGTTCCTTTGAATTTTGATTTTGAAACGGAAGAAGATACAAGAAAAGCAAAGTTGACATTCAAATGATGTGTGAGAAATGCATTACAGAATTCAACCAAAAACATCCTCTGGTAACTAATCTCCTATGTTTACTTAAACTACTTGGCTGATGAAAGCATTGACCTCACAATCACATATATGGATTCTACCTCTTAGCAGTTAATTTGTTTGTTTGCTAACGATGGCAATGATGATGATACTTCTTAACTGATGGGACCCAGCAAAAATAAGACCAGGGTCAACTTATTATAAAGAATCGGGCCATCCATACATGTAGTGGATCCAAAGGCGGGTCATCCATTTATATACTGGAGAACTTGACCTCCATCATCTGGCGTCGACAGTGGGGAAAGAAAGTACGCTGCTTAGAAGTGCTCCTCTTTTCCACCCATAATCAGGACTAAACAACCTCAAGGCAAAAGCTTTCCATGACTACTCCGGGCAATGAGCCAAAAACCCCCGGAGGAGACCAAACGGCATTCACTGCCTCACCCACCCTCCGGCATACCCCGGAAGAAGGGCCGTCCCGGCCTAAGGCGAAGGCAGAAGAAATACAACAGTTCGTTTGTGTAAACTTTCATGAGTTTGAACGCTTGCTCCAGAACAGTAAGCAGAACGATAAGGAGACGGAGCCAACGGATCCGAAGGAAAGAGGAGAATCTTCTTTCTAGATCCCATGCAACTGTTCTTAGATGAAGAGAAAGCCCCTTCCAAAGGGCATTACACTGTCACCAGTAGCTGAAGAGTTTGCTCCCCGGAGAAATAGATCCCGGTGCCCAGAGCTAGATGCCGTCCTCTGACAGCCGACAAGAAGGGCGATATCACTCGTATACTCACTACGGGTTGAAAAAGTACGGAGGAAGTTCACATTTCTCTTCAGAAATAGAGAAGTTCACAGTGGGACAAAAGTTTGAGTGCCCTCAAAACATAGGCATGTACGACAGGAGCTCAGATCCGGACGACCACCTAAACGTGAATAACTCGATTATTAATTTATTTGCTTATTCGATGCCTTGTGGTGCAAGCTCTTTCTAGTCACACTGTGAGATAGGGGCCGGCTATGGTTCGATAACCTTGCCTCCGGAAGTGTCCACTCTTGGACACAACTAGAAGAACCCTGCCGTCTGCACTTCCTACTGCAAAAAAAGTTCCGAAAAGCCCGAGAAGAGCTGTTTAAGATTAAGCAAAGGGATCAAGAGATGTTGCATGCCTACGTAGGACGTTTCGCTGAAGAAAGCGCACAAATAGGATCTCGGCTCGATGAAATCCTGATTGCTGCTTTCATAAATGGGCTGCGACACGGAAGATTTTACATAGAGTTCATGGAGAATCCTCCGGATACTTTCAAAGAAGTCCTGAAAAGGGCAAACAAGTCTGCTCGAGGGTAGCAAGCCTACCGGAAGCATAGTGACGAGTCTCAGAGTGCCCGAAGACCTAAAACTAAGAGTCGCGGCCCATCACCGTCTATCAGACGGACACTCCGAAAACGCTTGGGGGGCATCAAGAGCTTCCAAAACCTCACCCCTCTGAACAAAACACCCAAAGAGATCCTACAGACTATTTTTGTGGAAGGGATTCTGAAGCCACCGCCAAAGATGAACAAGTCTGCCTTTAAGAGGACTCGAAGCCTATATTGCAATTTCCACGAAGATCACGGGCATGATACGAATGATTGCAAGGATCTGAAGAGAGAGATAGAATGCTGTATCCAGAATGCTGAGCTTGCTAAATTTGCACTGGAGGCACGGAAGGGTGATAGGAATTCCCGGAAGGAGGATCGTACAATTGATGCTTCCGGGAAGGACCAATGGGGACAGTACAGCTGCAACAGAAGCCGTGATAGAGAAAAGACCAATCGGGAGGTCAACCAGGTGGTAACGGGTGACATCTTAAGCATTACTGGGGACCAGCTGGGGGAGATTCGGAATCCCAAAGAAAAGCTCGGTGTCAGAAGGTTCTGGATGGTGATGCCGAGAACTAATGGTGCTAAAAATAACCGACACTGATTAACCGAACCAAAAACGGACATAAAACCAAACCAATTAACCAAACAATCGGTTAATCAGTTAATAAGTCTCGGTTAAACGGGTTTTGCCGGTTAATTGATTTAGTTTTCAGTTTTGCTTATAGGTTTGTCGGTTAAACCGAATAACCGATTATAGTAAAAATAATTGACAAATTATATCTATCTAATATTTCTAATATCATCAATATTTTTTCTGTTTCCAAATTATTTCACTAAAATTTTGTTGTGTTATAAATATTTAATGGTGTGGATGTCCACAAGCCAGAAGAGTTATACAATGGATCAAATATATAGAGATAATGTTTAGTTAGATCTTGTTTTAGTTAGATCTTATCTTCTGCTATAATAATAGCTCTTGCAATCTTTTACTTTTATTCTCTCTTCAACTTCCCAACTTCTGGTGGTTTACCTTATTTTCATTAAAATTTTTTACTTCTGGTGATTTGTAACATTTTGGTAAGATAACCCATTTCTAACCATGTCTACTCCTTCCATTTGTCTACTAATGAAATTTCATGATAATCACATTTATTTCAATAAATGCAGTCATCCAAGTTGAACGAGTATAATATTATTCGCCTCAATATTTTTTTCAATGCTAACAAGAATTATATATCTACTTCAGGAGCAACTTTTTTATTGTTCTTGTTATTAATCTTTCACTTCAGGTGAAAAATGACATTTTTATACGTGACTACCATATTATAATAGATTCACTATCACAATTTGACTCATAAAATGTCGTAGTTTTCCACTTGCTTCAGGAAGTGAAAATTCTCAAAATCGAAGATTATTGTGATTTCTTTAAACAAAACAATAACGGTGTATTTAAGATAATAAATTGCTACTCCAAGAGCAATTTCTCATTATATTTGTATATTTGAATTTTTCCACTAATCAAAAGACATCAATCATTAGCCTTTTATCATATCGATATAACTTTTATATCGTCTATCTTTGATCATATATACCACTTCAAGTGGTCGATTTATACGGCTATGATATTTAACAAATTCAAATGCACTTGCTTTAGGAAGTGAAGAAAATCTCTTTGAATATTTTCATGAAATTGCTACTAATGGAGCAAATTTAATATATGAGAAATTTATAATAGAAAAGGTTACTACAGGAGCACTTGGTTGTATCCAATATTTACAAAACAAGAAAAGCTTACCACACTCCCTGATCTACGGATCAAAATTAACCGTACTCCCAAATGTACGGATTAAATTTTCTTTGCTAGATGGAGAGTCGTGCTGATAATGTTTTATAAAATAAATATGAAAAACTATAAAGAAAGAACAATAGAGGGAGAGAATAAGATTATTACTCTCTGTCAAGAATCAGAAAGCTATCTTGTTAACAAAAATGTTCACGGTATTATTATGGATGTTCAAGACGATCATCTTGAAGGTGTTAGTTATATGTTTATATTGAAAGCATCTAGTAGTATTTTATTTTATGTTTTAGATTGGTAGTTTCCTTATGATATACTTTATTATTCCTTGTGATTTATAAATTTAAGCAATGTCATCATTTTTTTTGTTAGAACAAAATTATTTAAGTGCTCCCGTAGAGCATATAGATGAATTTCTTCATTGGACGAAAGCTCCTGAAGAGCAAACTTTGCTATGGCAAAGTATAATAGATTAAATACTCTATAACTAAAGGGCAGATGTTGTCGTTAAATTATTCCATAAAGTTGGATGAAATCACTCGTAGAGTATTAGTCACTAAATATCTCAATAAGTTTATAAGGGTGCTCCCTTACAGCAAGAATATTTTTGGTAGAATGAACTAACAGAATATACAAATACTCCTGTAAAGTAGACAAGCTTGTTTAGAATAAATGTTCCTACGAATAGGAATTGATCTAGCATATATAGTTAATTACTTTCTCTAGAAGAGAATTTGTAAATATGGCTCCAGAAGAGTAAATAAAATATGAGCAAATAAAATTTTGCACGAATATGAAAGATGTTCGAGAAAAGATTTTAAAATGTCAGAAAGTGCTATCATATACTTATACATTAAGAATACAATTTCTAGAAGATAATTGTATTGACCTTCTTATTCCTTTGTGTTAAAATATTATACATGTAATCGTTGAATTCTGTTGTAAACCGATAGTTTACTAGGGAACTAGAAGTTAATTTTTCGTCAAGTTGAACAGGAAATTTACTAATTACAACAATTTTATATATTTGACATAACTAATTAAGCCACCGTGGTTTCAAAATAGAACAAGAAATTTCATGTATATTTATTTTGGAGAACCAGGAGTTTCTTCCAACAAATTAACTTATTTGCTAAAGAGATAGCCACTTTGTATATTTAATCATTAACTTACAACCTCGATCTTGTGAAAGATAATTACAGGTTTCAATTTAGTTATGTATATATTTTCATATTCTCCTGTGAGAAAATTTTTGATTTGACAATTCTGGTAAATGTATGACTTAATACCAGAATAAATATTTCAGAGATACAACTTGATCACAAAGTGCCTACACAAGCAAAGTGAAACGGACCAGTTGAATCGTTCAGTAAATGTGTTCAAAAGGAAAGTCAATAGCTCATATATACAATTGAGGATGTGTTTAAACATAAAGACACCAATCATATGTATAAGACCAAATGGATCTTCATAGATATTCTCCGAAACATTGGTTTTTGGTCCGAAACCATCCATGTACATCTTCAAAATTTAGATGTGCGATTTATATTAATTGCTCAACTACAATGCACACAAAAAGATGGAACCTCTAGAAGAGGTTAAGAATATATTCTAAGTTTTGAACCTTTATCATTGGGGGATATTGATGTTGGAATTTACTATTTGATAGGCGTGTTGTCTGTTTGACGAGTTAGTTACTCCAAAAGGAGATCTATTTACTACTCGGTTGACTGACTATCAGTTTGATGAATTAGTTATCCCCACATCATAAAGAGAAGTAAAAGCGACCGATTTATTAATCAGATGGACAAATTATTATCTCATAATGATCTTCGATAATATGAACCTGAAGTTTAAGAGATAATTTTCAAGACCAGACATTTATCTGACCAGAACGTGTGATCAAGTTACATGTGAAAGACTGTTAATGGATAAAATTTGAAAGTAAGTCCCAGAAGGGCCATCTACCACCATTCCTTATTGAATGTCCATTTGATACGTGGTAGAACCGTCGATTCCAATAATAAAAATCTTCGTAGTAAGAATGTTTAGATCTATTTAGATTCTAAATATGATTGGTAAAATTCCATAAGAGTTTGGAAATTGAATAGTTTCCCTCTATGGTAAATAAACTTCCAGAAGAAGAATATAGGTATTTGGGAAACTTAATGATTGTGAGATCTCAATACTAAAAAAAAATAGAATCGATCGACAATAAAATGTCAACATAAAATTTGCTTATGCTACAGCAATTAGTAATTTGAATGAAATGAGGATCATGAAATAAAAGTTTGTTGTGAGTACAGACATTAAACTTATGGGCCTAATAAATAAAAAGACCCAATACACATACCTGAAGATGTGTAAGTAAAATAAAATATCTTGAAAAAACTAGAAGTTTTGATAAGTAATATACCGGCTGAATGTTGTTGGGTGATTGTGCAAAATATTAATGAGCAACCAATTTGTTGCACAAGTTTTCGAAAGTCCAAATGTTAATCATTAGGAGATATATTCTCTTGTGGTGGATGAAAGTATTCTTCTGTTATTTGCTACATCTGACAGCAAATGAAGAAATAAAAATACGTGTATTGAACACTTTGTATGCTTTTCTCTCTAAATCCAATTCTCTCGCCTCTCTCTAAAACTTTGTCAGAATCCTTTTCTGTCGGAAAACCTAATTCCAATGGCGGCCGCCACTCAGCCTCCGGATGAGACAATGTCAAAACAATTATCTTTCGTGCAAACTTTGGCCGGACAGAAACCTAACCCTCGCAATTTGTTTGAAGCAGCAGGAATAACACGTAATGCATCTTCTGTGATTAACTCTCAGCCATCAATGGTCAAAGGAGAGCTGGCGTTCCTACTCACAAAGGAGGATGAACAACTAGCCGCCCCCTTTAAATTCGTACTGATCCGGAAATTTTCAAAAGGGAGGCCCTCAATGGATTACTTATGGAATAAGTTTCAAAGGATTGGATTTAAAGGAGGCTTTTCTCTTGGAATAATAGATCGTAGGCACATCTTGATTTTGTTTGATTTGGAGGAAGACTTAATTCAAAGGTGTTGGATTAAAAGTCTATGGTCTTTTGATCATCATGTTATGCGAGTTCTCAAATGGACACCTCAATTTAATCCGATCATGAATCCTCCATTGCGCCAGTTTGGGTTGCGTTTGAAGGGCTACCAATTCATCGTTCTAATGAGGAATAGCCAGCATAATTGGAGTTTCCGTCCATCGCTAGAGTTTGCGTTGAAGTAGATCTTCTTCATGAATTACCATCAAGAATCCGTCTTGGAACGGAGGAGCATTCGTACTTTCAGCCTATCACTTATGAAAATCTACCCGACTATTGTTTGAAATGCCGGAAAATTGGACACGATGCCAAGGACTGTCGACATGGAAAGCAAAAGTCGGAAAATGTGGAAAGGCAGCCTCAAAAGCAAACTTCTGTTACTAAAGTGAAGCCTCAGGCTCAAATGGTAGCACCTGCGTGGAAACAAAAACCGATGCAAAACCAAAATCAGGAAGAAATCGAAAAGGAGAAAGGTGCTTCTACATCAGGGCTAACGGAGAAAGAAAAGAAGGACATTCCAATGGACGTACCAAGTACTGTCTCTCCGCAGCAACAGAATTCTTCGGCTAAAAGAAGGTTCACTAAGGAACAATTAAATATAGTGCTGGAGAAGAATAAAATGGAGGAAAATATCGCTGATCCTTGGGAAGAAGAAGTGCCAATTAATAAGAAAAATCGGGAGCAGCAGCTTGTACTTTATCAGGATCCGGAAAAAATAATTAAACTTTCTGATCGATTCCAAGTTCTGTCAGAATTGCACGACGATGATGAGTTTTCAGAGATGGAAGAAAATCGGGATGAAGAGCAAATTCATCACGATTCGGATGGTTCGCATTCAGACACTGAAGAAGCTTACTCAGAACTCCAATGTGACACATATGGAAAAACAGTCGAGACTTCAGCTGTGGATGATATGGCGATCGTCAAGCTAACTACTGTACCAGAAATGGAGGATGCTAGACTGGTTGTTTCGGATGGTGAGGAGAAAAAGAAAAAACCAGGACGTCCTAAAGGCTCAACGAAATCAGTAAAGCAAGCTAGCTCCAAAACTCTTTCTTCGGCAAGGCTCAGCGGTGATCTCTCTTCAAAAATTTCTGAATGAATAGCTATCTCATATGGAATATTCGTGGAATAGGAGATAAAGCTCTTGTAGGCGCCTCAAAAATTTAATTAAACAGCATTCCATTTCTTTGGTTGAGATATTAGAGCCTTTACTGCCAGCTTCTCGGATGGAAGAAATAAAAAATCAGCTTAATTTCTCTTCGGTTTTTGCATCGGTGACAAGTAAAATCTGGATATTCCGCTCAAGTTTATGGTCAGTTAGATTTTTAGGGGGATCAGAGCAGGTAATGCATATGGAGATGCAAAGTTCGTGTATTTCTATGCCGGTGTTCTTATCAGCAGTTTATGCTAAGTCATCAAAAACAGCTCGAACGGAAGTGTGGTCAGAATTATCAGTGTTTCATCAGCAAAATGGTGCGAAACCATGGATGATTGCTCGGGATTTCAACGTAATCCGTAGCCTTGAAGAATATAAAGGGAATTCCAATCCGGATAGAGAAGCCATCGAAGACTTTAACTCATGGATTAATGATTGCAATCTTTCAGAATTGACTCCTTCGGGTAACCCCTTCACGTGGAAAGGACAAAGGCAGAATGGATTAGTGCTGAAAACGCTTGACAGAATCCTTTTTAATTCAGCATGGATAACACTCTTTGAGTCTTCCTCAGTTCAGCATCTAAGTCGGACTATGTCGGATCACGCGCCTCTTCTTCACCAGTTCAAATGTGAAGTCAAAACACGGCCAAGGCTTTTTTGGTTTCAAAAAATGTGGTTGCGACGGGAAACATTTCAGGCAGTAGTAAAAGAAAGCTGGGATCAACCTCTTGATCAATTTGGAATGTTAGCCTTCTCATTAAAGTTCAGAAGGCTTAAGGATCGATTGAAGGAATGGAACAAATCCGATTTTGGGGATGTTTTTCAAAATTTAAAGGAAGCCGAGGATACGGTTCAGCAAAAGGAGTTAATGCATGATCAAACAGGAAGTGATGCTGACAGAACACTTACTCAGAAAATTGTGCGAGCATGAGGACTTCTAGCAACAGAAATCACGACTGAAATGGCTAAAGGATGGTGATGTCAATTCTGCCTTTTTCCATGCTTCTTTGATTGAACGAAAGGCAAGGCAAGGCATACATAAAATGAGAAAAGGAGACGGAACATGGATCACCAAACGGGAAGATATAGAGCAAGAAGTGGTTTGCTATTTTCAGAATCTATTGTCTGAAGAACTTGTAGCGGATCATGATGAGGCTAGTGATCGAATGTTAAGAGCATATTCCAACAATTCTAACTGAAGCCGACAATGGAATATTAGTGGCACTGCTATCAAGGGAGGAGATTAAGCAAGCGGTATTTGGTTTGGATCCTTCAAGCGCCCCTGGTATTGATGGTTTTGGAGGCGAGTTTTATAGAAGTTGCTGGAAAATAATTGGCGACGATCTTGAAAAGGCTTGCAATGAATTCATATTGGGAGTTCCCCTTCCTCGTGCGATTTGTAGCACCGTTATCACTTTGATCCCGAAGAAACAAATGGCTACATCATTTGCGGACTTCAGGCCAATAAGTTTATGCAATTTTATCAACAAAATCATTACAAAGCTGCTCACCGAAAGATTGAAGGTAGTGATTCACAAGCTTACCTCAGAGGAACAATATGCATTTTTGCAAGGGAGGGATATAGTTGACAACGTTCTCTTGACACAAGACCTCCTATAATTTCTTGATCATCCAGCAAGAGGAGGTAATTTGATTTTGAAAGTAGATATGATGAAGGCGTTTGACCGAGTTTCGTGGGATTTTATGAAGAGGATAATGCTGAAATTTTGTTTTCATGATCATTTTGTGGAATTGGTGCTATCTAATCTCATAAGAAGTTTGTTCTTGATTCTTATAAATGGAAGTCCAGCCGGTTATTTTCAAGCTTCCAGGGGGATAAAACAAGGGGATCCAATATCGCCTTATTTGTTTATACTTATGTCGGAAGCTTTCTCTCGCAATATGAAAAGACTTGCTGAAAAAGGGGACATTGCATGGTATGGAGTGCCAGCCGGTTCAAGAATAGTCTCGCACATCTGCTTTGCCGATGATTTGATTATATTCACAAAGCGTCTCAGAAATTCTATGCAAAGACTCAATAATTTCCTTCATGATTATGAGGTAGCAACTGGACAAAAGATGAATAAACAGAAGAGCATGTTTTTGGTATCGGACAAGAGTAGGGAGGATCATGTTGCTTTAGTTGCTCAAACGCTACAAATGCCGCAAGGAAGTCTCCCTTTTAAATATTTGGGATGTTATCTTTTTAAGGGAAGGATGAAAGGTGAATATTTTCAACATCTCTTGGATGCTTTTGATGCTAAGATCGGAAATTGGAAGATAAGATGTTGTCGGTGGGAGGAAGAATGGTATTGATTAAGCATGTATTATCAGCTATCCCTATCCATACCATTGCAGCCATATCACCACCAAAATCAGTATTGGAACTTCTTGAGTGTAAATGTCAATCTTTCCTCTGGGGTGGTACTGAATTTGGGAACAAGAAACATTGGAGAGCATGGAGTAGACTTACCTATCCGGTGGCGGAAAATGGCCTAGGATTTCGGAGACTAGAAGATACACTTAATTCTTTTTTAACAAAGTTGTTGTGGAAGATTCAAGTTCAGCAAGGAGTATGTCAAGATTTGTTTTATCTTTGTCTCAAACGGCTAAGGAGAAGACAAGTTGGAGAAGGGTACAAAAGGTTAATCCAAAAGTGGCTGAGAGAAGCTTCAAAATAATCAATGATGGCTCATCATCTTTCTGGTTTGATCCATGTCTGGTATCCAGAGCCATTTGGCAAGAAATGATCATGCCTCCATTGCCTAATCTAATGGTGAAGGAATTTTTTGTTTCAAAGTCTTTTTTATTGCAGGAATTGGAGGTTTCTATCAATCCTCAACTAGCGGAGCAATTGAAGACAATGGAGATGACTTTTAATGAAGACCCAGATCGTCTTGTGTGGAAGCAAAATCCATTGGGGAATTTCACCATCGCCTCAGCCTATTTCGAATTAAGAGCAAACGGAGAATAATTTCCTTTTCTTAAAAATATTTGGAATAAAGTAGTGCCTTTAAAAATCTCTTTTTTTCATTTGGAAGCTTTTTAATAGTCTGTTACCTTTTCCTGAAATTTTGCAGAAAATGGGAATACTCTCAAGACCATCAAGATGTGTAATATGCCAAGAGGAGGAAGAAACTAGTCATCATACTTTCCTTGCATGTGTTAAAGTTAAGCCGGCTTGGTCTATCTATGCATCATCTTTAGGTATTTATTCTACTAACCATACAGGTTGGTGGAGTAATATACAAGCTTGGGATACAGTAGGGAGCTATTCATCAGCAAAGCGGACTATCCAAATGGTAGTCCCGATCTTTCTACTATTGGAAATTTGGAAAACTCGGAATAAGATAATACATGAAGGTACAAGTTTCTGTTTGGATGTTCTTATTAAGAATGTCCAAGCTCACATTTCAAATATGATAAGTGTCCATAAGTTGAGAGCAAAATTGATTGAGGAGAAGCAAGAGTTGGAGGAGATGTTGAATTCCCAAGTAATGTAGCCTAGTAAGAAGGTAGTGCTATCTCCACGATGGCAACCACCAGGGCCAGGTGAAACAGTCTTAAATTCAGATGGATCGGCTTTAGGTCAACCGGGAGCAGCAGGCTGGGGATATGTATTGAGAGGAGCTGGACGTGCATTCATAAGAGCAGAATGTAAATATATGGGAGTAGCTTTGATTTTAGAAGCGGAACTGGAAGGAATCCTTCATGGATTAAAGGCATGTGAAGAACGACAAATATCTCGAGTGGTGGTCCAAACAGATAGCATGATTATAGTGCAACTAATTCAAAAAAAGGAGGGCTTCCCATGGTACTATAGTTCCAGGTTCAAACAAATTCAGAGATTACTTCAAGCTTCCAATTCTACTATTGTACACATATATCGGGAAGTTAATAGAATGGCAGATGAGTTAGCTAAATTGACTTCAAGCGGAGTATCAACTCAATATAACTCACCAGATGAACTCCCAGTTTCAATAAGAGGTAAATGGTTCCTTGATAAATGCTCCTTTCCTTATCTAAGGATTAGATAGGGTTTCAATGTAATTGATTAAATTAGAAATAGTGTAGGTAGATTAGTAAAGAGGAGTCATGGGGTTAATGTTTCAACCTTTGTAAGACTTCCTTTTAGCTTATGTCTTTTTAAAATAGAGATGCCACGAGATTCTAGTATAATCTTTGTGAGGCATCCTCTTAGCTTGTACATAGAGCTGTCATGATATTTTAGCAAATCTTTGTACGACAGTCTCTTCCTTTTGGTAAGTCTTAAGCACTGCCAGTGTAATCTTTTCTTTTTAATTAATAAAATGGGGGATGCCCGCGGTAACGTCCTAGTCTCTTAAAAAAAATGCGTCTATTGAATGCCGTGATCACTTGAAACTTGATACTTGATATTTGATAATGACGTCTATATGAAATCCGTGAAGGATTCAATAAGGAACATGGTTCCAATTCTCGAGAAAGTAATTCGAAAAACTTACGCAAGTACTAGTGTCTTCATGTGTTTAGATAATATTTAGGTGCATATTTTTTTAATGTTTGGATTATGCACTCGTCTCTATGTACATATTTTATCCGATTATGTTATGTTTGTCTGTTTGTAATTCTCTATGTGTTTAGATGATCATACTTGTATGGCAATGATATGTATGTTTGTTACATACTTATATGTTTAGAACCCAATTAATACTGAACTCTTAAAGAGTTGAAATACTGAATATTATCGAACTCATTATTGAGTTGGAACAGCCCAAAATAAATATAACTTCTGAAGAGTTCATCATAGTTATTGACACTTCAGAAGAAGTTCAAAAGGTTGTTAAGTTAAAGGTTGTTACTTGCCTGAAACAAGAAAAATAAAGATTTTGAGTAGAATCTTGGTCTTAATAGCTTGACCTTAGTATGTATACATTTAACTCCTATTGAGGGCACTTGATTAA